TGCATGGACTCGCGCGCACACACACACGCGCACACACACGCGCGCACACACACACACACACTCTTACTTGAGTAGCATAAAACTTCCTTTACAAGCTCTCTAAATCATTAGCTTTGTTTTAGAGTAAAGATAACAGGGAAAAGGAATAGGGAAGGAAAGAGGACAAAAGGACAATAGAATTGAGAGCTGAAAGTGACTTTCTAGATCTAGTCTAACTTTCTCTTGAAAAACAAGGTGACTGAAACCCAGGGAGGGGGGAATGACTTGTCCAAGGTCATAGGTGCACTAAGTCGTGCAGCAAGGATTCAAACCCAGGGGCTCTGATCTTAAATCCTATGCTCTTTCCAGTACCTCCCACAGCCTTCTCCTTTCCTCTTCCCAATCAATAGATAACCACCAAGGGCTGATAATTCTTTTTTTAAATTCAATTTTATTTTATTTTCAGTTTAATATTATTTCTCTCCCCCTCCTCTACCCATTGAGAAGGGAAGAAAAAAAAACAGTACAAATATGTATAGTCATGGAAAACTAATTTTCATATTGGCTATGTCAGAGAGAGAAAGAGAGACACAGAAAAATAAAATAAACTTCAATTTGCACTCTGAGTCACTCAGCTCTCTCTGTGAAGGTGGGTTTCATGTTTTATTATAAGTCCTTTGGCATTCTGCTTGGTCATTGTATTGATCATAATTATAACTCTTTCAAAGTTTCCAGTCTTTACAATATTGCTATTATTGTATAAAATGTTTTCCTGGTTCTGTTCATTTTACTTTGTATTAGTTCACCAATCTCCCCAGGTTTTTCTGAAACCATCCCCTTCATCATTTCTTATACCACAAGAGTATTATATGAGATTCATATACCATAACTTATGTTCAACAATTCCTCAATTGATGGGCATTGCCTTAGTTTCCAATTCTTTGCCACCTCAAAAAGAGCTGCTAGAGCTAAGATGGAATGATCCAGGGGGTACAGATCAAAGGAAAGGATGGGACCAGAGGGAGAGTACACAGGTTTCATGGCTAATAGTGGTCTCCATTCTTACTCTCATGTATCTTCAGATGGCTAACTGTTAGCATCCTTTGTCACGCATTAGGAGAGTAATGAAACTCTAATCTCTACAAGTGAAAGGCCAGTGGCTATGGCTGTGGTTGTATATTTCATTGCGTATGCACAGTGTATGGATGCACATTCACATCATCCTAAGAAACACAGATACAGAATGAACAAATTATCAGATGGAATGGGAGAGCCTTAAAATCATAGGTCAGTCAAGAGTCTCCTGTTCTCTCTAATTGATGCCCTCACTAAAAAGCCTTCTCCTCTTTGGCTGACTTCAATACCCATTGTCAAAGTGCATGGTATATATACCCTAGGTTTCCTGATTCCAATTTCAGGGCTTTTCTACTTGGCTTTGCGCCTCTACTCTAACACATGGGATTTGACTTATCACAAAATAAATACCATAATCCCAGGAAGAGGGAAATTTTCTGTCAGCAAGTCAGTTGGTAAATAAACATTTATTAAGCACCTACTATGTGCCAGGCAATACTAAGTAAGTGCTGGACATACAAAGAAAGGCAGTTTCTGCTCTCAAGGAGCTCACAGTATAATAGGAGAGACAATATGCAAACAACTATGTCCAAACAAAATATATATAGAATAAGGTTTCTTGTAGAAGATTGGATTTTAGATGAGACTTGGAGGAGGACAAGGCATCCAGGAGGCTGAGATGAGGAGAGAGAATTTCAGGCATGAAGGATGGACAGTGAAAATGTTGGCAGCTGAGAGATGGTGTTTTGTTCAAGGCCAGTGTCGGTGGATTGCAGAGTATCTGAGGTGAAAGAAAACTGGAAAGGGAGGAGGGAGCCAGGTTTCTGGATCATGGAAATGACAGGGATCCACCCGAGATTTACTGAGTGGGGGTGTGTGGGGTGTATGTGTGTGACATGGTCAAGATCAATTTGACAGCTGAGATGAGGATTTACCACAGGAGAGACTAGAGGGAGGGAGACCAACCAGCAGACTATTGCAATAGTCCAGGTGTGAGGTGATGAAGGGCTGCACAAGGGTAGTGGGGGAAGTACATGAGAAAGGTGATTAACAGCGTCAGATGTTGCTGAAAAGTCAAGAACGAGGATTGAGAAAAACCATCAGATCTGGTGATTAGGAAGTCATTGCTAATTTTGGAGAGAGTAGTTTCAGTTGAGTGAAGATGCATACAATCATATTGAAAAGGATTTAGAAGAAAGAGAAAGAAAAAAAGTAAAGGAATTGAGTGTTGATGGCTTTTGCAAAAAGTTTGGCTGGGAAACAGAGATGTGTAGGGTGATGACGAGCAGGGATGGTGGATGGTGGGATCTAGTGATTTTTCAGGATAGGAGAGACTAAGGTGTGTTTGTAAGTATCAGGAAAGGAACCAGTAGACACCAAAGGAGACAAGAAGGAGTGGTCACACAGGAAGGAAGAAAATTGAGAGTAGCATCCTGAAAACTTAGAGAGAAGAGAGTTATCAAGGAGAAGAAGGTGATCCACAATGTTAAAGGCTGCAGAAAGGTCAAGAAGGATGAGGACTGGCCATTAGGTTTGGCAGATAAGAAATCACCAGTACCTTTGGAAAGAGTAGTTTCCTTTGAATGATGAGGTAAAAAACCAGACTTAAAAGAATTAACAGGAAAGTGAGAGGAAGAGAAACAGAGGCATTTGTTGTAGGTGGCCTTCAAGGAGTTTTGTCAAAAGGAGAAGATATAGGATGACAGCTATCAGAGATGGACAAATCAAGTAGGCATTTTTTGAGGATGTGGGAGACAAAGGTAAGATTGTAGACTACAGGGGAGCAGCCAGTAGACAAAGAGAAATGGAAAATAAGTGAGAGTGGTATTGATAAAGGGGGCAATCTGCTGGAAGAGATTGGATGAAGTGGATCAATTGTGCCTGTGTACGGGTATGGTCAAAGAGAAAGGCCAACTCATTATGTGAGATGGGGTGAGGGTGGAGACAGTGGGAGAAAAGCATTTGGCAGGTACAACTTGAGGAGGAGGAAAGAAGGGGAAACAGTGAATGGCTTCAACTACGAGGCAAAGTTCTCAGCTGAAATGGGGAGGAGAGTGGGAACTAAGGCAGATCTGAGGAGTGATAAAAAAAAAAGTTGTGGTGAGTGGGAGAGTAACTCAATAAAGGAAGTATAAAGTGATTGAAGAGAGTATCAGTGCAGGGGTGATGGCCTGGGAAAGAACTGAAGGGTCTAGGGATCTGAGGTGGATTTCAGAGTTCAGAAATGTAGAAAGTGTGGCATGTATGGGTGATGGTAAAATCAAGAGTATGACCTCTCTCTGTGTGGCTGAGGCGGGGTAGAGGAGTCGGTCACAGGGAATGAGTGTGAGGAACTGAGAGCTACAGGTAGGTGTTTGAGGTACTTTCAATATCCATATTTTGTAGTCACCTAGTATGAGGGCAGGGTTTGGGAAGGAGAAAACGATTGTGAATCAAGCACAGAGTTCACTGAAGAACGAAGGGCAGTGTCCTGAGGTCAATAGCCCACGAATACCAGAATTTTGATGTGCATAATGCAAAGATGTGTATGGGTGATAGCTACGAGTGAACTTGGAAGGAAGAGAGATTACTGAGGGAATGGAGGTAAAGGGAGAAGCTGGAAGTAGTGAGGAGACGGAATTGTCTGGACCTAAAAATGTGTACATTTACAAAATATATTATGAAAAATTGGTCCCTTCCATGCCTCCTGTATGTTATACCCCGAAGGTGGTTGATTCTGGTCCCAAATCTGCTCATAGGCCATTCCCTGATTGGAGGCTCACTTGCTCCCAGTTTTTCTGCATTTGCCAACCAATTTCTCTTCCTGGATCTGTTTCTTTAATCAGAGATCTTCCTTTACTCCCTCCCCCAATACTTACACTGGCATTCTGCTCATCCATATTTATGCAGACTGATAAACCATTTCTAGAATTGTAGGATTTACAAAGGGACAAAGGAGTCCATCTATCCCTGTATTCCGTACCCCTCCCTACAGGTGCAGACATAGAATCACTGACCTTTGCTTGAAAATTTCCACAGATGTCAGTCTGAATAAGATGCCCAGGGTTTTACCCCACTCAAGTCATTTGTAATAACAAACTTAAATCCTTCTTCTGCAAACAAAGCCTCCATAGCTGTGTGTATGTTCTGACAGGGCAATGTGCATTTGGCTGTCCTAACACAGAAGGGAGATGGGCACTCTGCAGCAGCACTGAGGCTGCTCTCAGCCAGAGTGGACAAAAAGAGGCCCCGCTGGGAAGCTGTCAACTTCTGCTGCCTTTCCCTGGGGGTAGGTGGGTAGGGAAGGGAGGATGATGAAGAGAAGAGAATAAAGTGTTATTTCCAGATCAAAGATCCCTGTCCAGTATAGAAACTCGTCTTGTTACTGTACTCTACATTTGTATAAGTGCCTTTTAAAAACTTTTCACAGATATTGGGTCCCCACAATAATCTTGCGAGGTAGGCTATTTTTATTTTGCAGATGAGGAAGCTATGGATCAAGCAGGTTAAATAAATGACTCAAGGTTACACAGCAAAGTAGGAGGAGAGCTGGCACTAGAATTCAGAGGCTGTGCACTGAAGTAGAAAACTCACTGGAGTCAGAGCACCCGGGTTCAGGGCATGAGTCTTCCACTTAATAACTGTGTGACTCTGGGCAAGTCACGACAATTCTTTGGGCCTCAGTTTCCTCATCTGCAAAACTATGGGGTTAGACAGATAACCTCTATGGTCCCTTCCAGATCTAGACCTAGGACTTCTGACATGGACCCTTCAGGCCCTTTTTCTTAGGATAATACCACCGCAGCTTAAATCATCCTCTCTCCTCTGGCCTGGCCCACAAAAGAGGACATCCCTAGAAAACAGGCTCTCTCTAAAGTTGCTCCTTTTCTGAGTACTTGTGAATGACAACAAGGGCTAGTTCACATGGTGTTCATTCCTTCCCCTCCACCCAGAGACTTCACACTCACCATGAGGTGCTGGAAGAGCCAGGAACGCATTATGTTGGTAGCGTGCTTGGGTAGGACTCCCCTTTTGTTCTTGGACTTCTTATCCTCGTTGTCCAGGAGGGAGGTGAGGTCAAGGTTAACCTTCAGGGCAGGTGGAGAGAAAAGCCGCATCAGCAGCCACACAGGGAGTGAAGGACCTGTTGCCATGGTGATGGTAGGCACACAAAGCCAGCTCCCTTTTCTGACCCATTCTCCTGCTCTGGGGAGGCTACCTTCTCATGCCCCCATGATGGAACAGCCACCCTCTCTCCAACTCCCCCCCCCTTCTCCTCCCATAACATCAATCCCTTCAAGCTAAAAAGAAGGGAAAAATTAAAGATAGAGAGAAGGGGGGAAAGAGTGGGAACAGGGCTATAAAGAATTTGTGGAATATGCAGAATCTGTCATGATAAGACCCAAAGTCTTTTGTCATAGTAAGACCACAAGGATCTCCTGCTCCTAGCCATATGCCAGGGGGATGCAGGGAAACCTAAAGCATTTGCTTAGTGGGTGGTAGACAAACCTATTCATGACTCTATTGTCCCAGGGAAACAACTGTGTTCTGAGCTCCTGAAAATTCTCCAATTGCCTGACCTCATTAGTGCTACCTCTGTGGAGAAGACTGTCCTAGTCTGTGCAGGAGGAGGGAGGGGAAATAGGGAAACTTCAGGAAGAAGGAATTTCTCCCACTAGAGCTCTGCCCCACCCAGCTCCTTGTCTTTGGATTCTCCAGACACACGTTTACCATATTTCCAAAGCAAACTTGAAAAAGTCTATTTCTTTTACAAAGCCTCATTTAAAGTAATTTTCATTTTTTTTTGATATTATGATTGTCCCAGAAAACCTGGGATAAATAGTTGCTATAGATACAACCTACCTAACTCTCTGGAAGGCTCCCTCCTTGTTTACCCCAGTCCTATGGGACAACTAGACCCAGGACAAGGTTGCCCAACACATAACGAGTGACCACAAAGATTCGTATAATGATGATAAAGGAAAGGAGGTGGGGAGGAGGGAGGAGAAAGGATGGATGGTAAGTAAAGAAAGGAGCAGGGGGTTTGAGGCTGCAAAAAACTCACTGAAACATCAACTTTAAAATCTCTACCACCACCCACTCCTCTTTTCCCCAGGTTTCATCAAAACATTCCTTCTGTATGAATAAAACATCAGGCTCCAGCCCCATGACAGGCAGGGAGGGCTCCCTCTGGCCCAGGCTATGATATAAGGTAAGACTGGGGTTGCATACATTGTGCTGGCATCAGAGAAGGCCTTTGGCCAGACTTGTGCCCTGCCCTTGTGGTCCCCAAACTCCCTATTAGCTATAGAGTCTAAATCTCATTTAGATGCAGTCAAGAATGTGTATCTACATGAGGTGGGGGTAGTGTAAAGGAAAAGAAGGAGATTGTTTTTGGACCTCTAACTTCCATAAAGGTTCAAAAAGCTAACCAAGGAATTAGGAACAAAGGAAATCGGAGGACAGGAAGACACGATAAGAATCACAGAATGAGAGGTGTCCCTGGCTGTAAGAGATGAAAACAGTGTGATATGAAGAACGCTGAACTTGGAACCCTAGGACCTGAGAATACACCTCAGCTTGGCCATTTCTAGGGGCAAAGGGATCTTGAGGCAAGTCACTTATCCTTTCTGGCACTCAGCTTTCTCCTCTGTAAAATGAGGGGACTGGCCTAGATGACCACTGGCCCTACTGCTATCCCAAAAAGTGATCTTAAACAAATCATTTAACTTTTCTGTGCCTCGGTATCTCTCTCTACAAAGTGGGTGGGAACATTGGTTGAATGTTCCCATTCATAAGGTTGAATGCTAAAGTGCTTCAGAGACTTCCTAACCAAAGATGCTCTAAGAACTAAGAGTCGATTTACTGCCTCACCTACACCTGGTTGGCTTTGGGGCAAGGCCCTGCTTCCTTTCAGGGAAAGGATTTTCTCAGTCTAGAGGCTGGTATTGATATTATAGAAGATTCTGGGAGGTTCAGACATCTCCAGAGAAACTTTAGGGCCTTGTCCAGGTAAGTAGACCCAAGAACCTTGTTTCAGTTTCACAGGCCTCAGTTTCCTATTGCTGCTCTGTCCCTTCACTTTTTTTAATTGCCCAAAGCACTTTCCTCAAAGCTTCAGGGATTTTTAAAAATTGCATCAGTGTAAATACTTATTCCATCAAGGCAGATTCTACCATGCCTTGACAGAAAAGCAGTGAGTTGTCATGATGAGAAAAAAAAAAGTTCAAATGAACCTTAACCTTACTCTCTTCCTGGACAACAAGGATATGAGATTGAAGTCCAGGCTAAGCTTCAGGGTAGGCAACAACAACAAAAAAAAAAATAGGGAAGGAAGGGTAGAATCTTCTGGTGAGGAGCCTCTTTCAATCTGAATGGAGCTAGGCTGATCTTCAGAGAAAGACACAATCTATTGCTGTACCTTGACTTTGATATAGTGATGTCATTTTGGCCCTCTTCTAGAACAAAGGACAGCAACTAACAATCTCTGGGCTTGTGTCTACGGTCTTGCTAACTTGGTCAGTGTCTGTGCCCTGCTGGTGTGCTCCCTGGTCCATGAAGGAGCTCATGAAGGGTGGAGTCCACGAGGGAAGATTTGGTGAAGAAGCCATCACCATCACATAGGTATTTCCTTCTCCCTACTCCACCCCCAAAGCTAGGTGGGAAGAACACTTCTTCTATTCTTAAAGGTCTCCCCCCTCCCCATTTCTAAGGGATCCCAGGAAGCAGATTGGTCCTGGCCCTCAATCACCTAAAAGGAAAGGAAGTAGAAGGAGCACTTAGTCATTTGCTTAGTCATTCTGGGTGTGATGAGAGAACAATAGCATTTCAGGGGCATATCTGGCTCCCCAAGTGTGGGGGTGGGAAGCTCCTAGGTGGAAATACACAATAGAGAAAAATGGAGAGGCGGAGACAAAGAACTCTACCACAGAACTGAGCTCAGAAGACAATGGTGAAAGGGATAAACCTGTCACACCCAGGGAAAACTTCGAAGGTGGTACACTCCCTGGGGTAGAGCTTAGCCAGCCCTTTTCCTCCTCTTCCTGGTTTTTTGCAGACATGATATTAGGAGTATTGGGCAGAAGTGGGGCAGTGAAACAATAGGCAACAGAAATGGAATGCTAACCTCTTTCTGGGGGCTTTTAGAAATCATAGGATCACAGACTTTTAGAATAAAAACCTACTTTTTATCTTCCTCCCACTGTTTGTGTTGTAAAAAGACAAAACCCAACCCAACCCCACAAAACACCCCAAACTTTGTAATAATTAAATCAAGCAAAACAAATTTCTGAATTAGCTACGTCCAAAAAAATATGCGACTCATTCTGCACCATGAGTTTATCACTTCACTGTCAGCAAGTAGGTATGTTTCTTCATGAGTCCTCTGGAATAGTAATTGGTCACTGTATTAGGATCACAGATTTATGATGGCTCTAAAGCTAGAATGGACTTTGGAGCGCATCTAGTCTAGCCCCTTTATTTTTCAAATGAGGAAACTGAGGCCTGGAAGATTAAATGACCTTTTTCAGGTCATACAGGTACTAAGTATCACAGGTAGGAGTTGAACCCAAGTCCTCTGATTTCAGAGCTACTGTCCTTTCTATTGTACCTAAGATGTCCTGACTCCTTTTCCTTTGGGATTTTGGAGTGGGGATAACCTTTTCAGTTCAAATTGCTGCTTAGGATACCAGATAAGATGGTAGTACTTAGAGTAGAGAGGACTTTAGAAATCATCTAGTCCAACGCCTTTATGTTAAAAATGAAGAAAGAGAGGGCCAGAGGGGTAAAGGGATTTGCAAAAAGAGATCAAGTCACACAGAAGGAGAAGATGCCAAACTGAACCAAGGTCCCAAGATGCCAAGTCCAGTGCTCTCTGCACTTGTTTCAGTTTCAAAAGAAAAGATGGAAAGGACTTTTCAAGTCTTCTGTTAGGCAGTTCAGCTCAGTTCACCAGAACAGGAAAGGAGACAGACTAGAATTCAGGCCACACGCTGACAGGAATAACGATTTGCATTGGGCTGGAGCAACCCCCAGTATTCTGTTTGGTGACTGAGTGTAATAGGGAAGCTGGGAGGAACTACAAATGACATTATGGAGCTGTCCTTGAATACTGGCGGCTATGCAAAGCTCCTACCCTCAAGAAGTTTTCCATAGGAAGGGCTCCCCACCCCCTTAGCGGCCCTCTACATACCCAAGTGGAAAGAGCATAGGAACGGGGGGCCCAAGGCTGAGCAGGGAAGGTTATTGACTGAAAGCTGTCCTGAAAAACGGGCTCAGGGGTATCTCTGTAGCACTGTAGTGTCAGGTCCCCAGTTACTTTTTTTAATCTTTACCAAATGTCAACAGAGGTATAAACCTGTTAGGTCAGGAAGCTCCTCCTTCTCTCATTCCGTGGAGTCTTAGGATTCCCCCCAACTCAGCTCAGCTTCTCTTCAAGGACCAGGCATCTCTCTGCCAGAGACTCACAGAGCTGAGAGCCTGTCAGTTTCACCAAACTATGACAAGGTGGGGGAGAGGAGAAGGACTACGGAGGGGAATAAGGATCACAGAATAATAAATACCATCTAGTACTAGTGAAGTGTCCAAGGTCACATAGCAACAGATATAGTGATAAGGAGGTATATCTAGAAGGGTACAAAGTTGGTGCTTCATAAATATTGAATAAATTCAGTGCTTAGCACAGTATCTGGCACATAATAAATGTTTACTAATGAATAAATGCTTAACTGAAAATGGGAAAGAGGAGATGGGTGACCTGGTTGAGGTGGGAGAGACTCTTGGGGCACAGGAGAATATAAATAAAGCAGTATCAATTCTAGCCACTGTCTTCTTCAAGCTTAGCACATAATCTAGGAAGAGCACGCAGGGCCGTGCCCAAATGAAAAGCGCCATTGTGGATATGCAGGACTGGCTGGTTGGAGGCCAGAGCTAAAAGGAAGGAGACCTGTCAGTTTCCTGTCCCTCCCTCTGCAACCCTCTTTTCCCTCTGGAGCCAGGCCAGTGTTTCCTGGCTTAACCACTAGCAGAACCTGTCTCCCTAGGTAACAGGGGAAGTGAGGGTAAGGAAGGCTTACAGGACAAAGGGGATTGGTGTGTAAGGAAATGGCCAAGCAGCTTCTCCTTGGGGGCCCTTGCTCCTAACTCTAGCAAAAGGGGTAGGGGGGAGGATAATGGTGTTGAGAAAAAAAACATCAGCAGAAAAACCTCAAATCTCATAAAGTCTTGTATTTCAAAGTACAAGGCTCATAAGCCTTTCCAGACAGACTCCCCAAAGGGAGAAGGAATGGGGAACAGCACCCGCTGCATCACTCTGGTGACAGGAAGGATGCAGAGGGTTGGACCTGGATTAGACAGGGCTTCACAGCTGAGATCATTCAGAACTCTGGCTTTAGCCTTACATGACCCTACAGGAAAGTGATCCAATCCCAATTACCCGACAGTGCTCCCTTCCCCCCTTCCTCCTAAACTTCATGACTACCTCCACCTTTCAGCAACTTCCATTCACCTCGCCCACCCTGGACACTCATTTTTCTTTCAATTCCCAAGGCAACTGGGAGTGGGGAAGGAAAGGTTTCTGGGAGGATTTTCTAGTAAACAGATTTTCCCATCTTAGGTCAAGATGGTAGGTTAGTCAGGAAGAGTACAAGCAGAGTGGGATGAAATAACAGGGACTGGGGATGGGAAAAGGTACTTAAGGGAAGAGAAGCACTGGTTTCCTTGGGGAAGAGATTTCTGGGCATGGACTGAACATGCAAATACTATGTAAATGTGCATCTGTCCCTTTGGAATTGTCAGCCTAGTCCTCATTTGTACCCAACCTGCAGCCCCACCCTACAGCACTGAGAAGGCCTTGCTTAGTGGCTTTTTAAGATCTATAGATAGCTTCTCCCCTCTCACTTAACTTACCTGTGTATTTTGGATCTGGATAGCTCCCTGGGGGATTGCTTGGGTGACCACCTGACCCTGGGAGGTTACCATAGTAACTGGCTGGTACAAGGCTCCACCTGGAAAGAAAAAGGACTTTATATCATCAGCAATGTGGGAGGGCAGACTGGCATGGGGTACTCTCCACAAACAGCTGATGTTTTAGACCCCCAAGCCTACCCTGCATTTACAGCGGAGAACTTTTAGCCCAACCCTTGAGGGATCATGCCCACTACTGACACTGTCCTGGAAAATTAAAGATTTAGGATTCAGTGTGGGGAGCCTAAAGACAGTGAGGCTCTGAGAGTTTAGATGGGGGAGCTCAACCTGGATGTTAAAGGGGGAGTCAGATGGGGGAAACTTTATAGCCAATGAGCTGTTCAGGGACAAGTCCCTCATTCCTGGCTACAACTGGCTTCATCAAGGGCCTGTGGGATTTGTCTCCCAGTTTCTCCAAAGCTGAGACTTGAGGTTTCAAGAAATCTGGCAATACTGCCAACTGGTCTGCTTATACAACGAATATCAACTTCAATCCAAAGTCAAGATAGAGATTATCTTCTTATCAGGAGGTTATGTGAGGCCTCCCTGATCTAATAAGCCCTTTTCTAGTCAGATAATGAGCAGTCAGGCAAGGAATGAATGACACAGAGATAGATGCTGTAGATGGATTTCAGTTCCCTCTCTGATCTGAGCCCTAGCTTCCCCTCCCAAAGTTGGATTCTAGACTATTATCTACTGAGTTTCTTCCATTACACCCACTCCCAATCCCTGCTCAGAGGGGTCTCATATGTCTTTAGTTCATACCCTTTCCTCGTCCCTGCTGGTACTCACCTGAAACAACTTGTGAATTGACTGTTGTCATGGCAATGTTGCCTTGCTGGAGTGCTGAGGCTGGGACTACAATGCCTTGGGGGTTATTGGAGACTCCTGTCATGGAGTTGGGGGAATTCTGCAGGAGGTCCTAGGGTGAAGGGAGACATGGTTTGGGTTTACACACTATTTCCCTAGATTCTACTCAACCCACTTTTGCACATACCCCAAACTATGAGGAAGGAAAGTCTCGACAAGCCACTCTTCTACACTTCAACACCCTACCGCTATCCTACTCCATGTTCCATTTTCCCCTAAGGTGAGAAGAATGAAAAAGATCAGCTTTAGGATATTTAGCTAACACTGTGAGCCAAGAGGCACTGGGGTGGGGTTGGGGTTAGCGGACTTCAATGGAAGCCCAAAGTGTGACACAATTCCAAAAAGCTGAAGCTGCATCAGGCTGTATGAATACAGAAAAACTGTCTAGAACAAGAGACACCATAATTCTGCTATCCTGTGTCATGGGCAGACTACAGCTGCAGCATCGAGTTCAGTTCTGGACAAAGTATGGGGCATGTCCAAAGGATGGTGAGAATGGAGACCATGCTATACGGGAATTGGCCCAAAGAACTGTGGATGTTTGATCCATCAGCAAGCGTTTATTAAGTGTTTACTGTGTTCCAGGCATAGTTTACTTGTAGAGGAGCACAGACTCAGGAAACATGATCACTATCACCAAGTCCTAAAGAGCTGTTGTACTGAAGAGGGATCAGACTTAGAATGCTGGCCTTGTTACCTGCTACTTGTGTGTCTTTGGCCAAATCACAATCTCTCTGTGCCTCGCTTTCCTTACATGTAAAGTGGAGGGGGCAGGATTAAATGATCTCTTAGGTCCAGTCTAGCCTATGAACTAGTATCAATGGAAAGAAATTATAGCAGAATAGGTTTGAGTCAGATATAAAGAAAACTTTCCTAATAATCAGAGTTCATCAAAAGTAGAATGAGCTTACTTAGAAGGAAAACTGAAATTCAGGAAGTAATTACTTCCCTATCACTAGAGTCCTTAAAGCAGTGGCCATTGACCATTTGTTTCTGGTATGGTATGAAGAGAATTCCTCTTCAGGTATAGATTTGATATAGATAAGACTAGAAGGAAACCTACTGTTCTTCCTATTATCAGAGTATGTGTCTATGGGATTAGGGTTGGATTGACATAGGAAGTCTGGGGCAAGGCTTCATTTCTCAATTCTCTCATCAAAAAAATAAAATCTATGGACAGAGAGAAGTAAATTAAGAGAACAACCTAGACAATGCCAACAACATTATAAAGAAAAACAACTTTGAAAGACTTTACAACTCTGAACAATACACTGATAAACCACAACTCCAGAGGACCCCCCTTTTGAAGCAGGTGACCTGCCTCCTTGCCAGAGGTTTAAAGAGTAGAATAAGATAGGTATTTTTGACCAGTGCAGGAATCTTGTTTTGCTAAACTATGCATATTTGTTATGAATGTTTGCTTCTTTTTTAATTGTTCAATTTGGTGGTAATGGTGGAGAGAACAGTGGGAGGGCTAACATCCTTTCAGCTTATTGCTGGAATTGCCAAAATTTTCTACAGAATTTTCCCTTAATATGCAGATTTGAGTCAAATCCTCCAAACAAAATCAGATAGCAGGAAAAGAGAAATCAGGCAATAGGTCTACAATCAGTTTAATAAATCCTGTGTCTTTTGTCTTACTTTTTTTTTTTTGGCTGGGAGAGACTGTCAGAGGATTCTGTATTTAGTGGGTGAGAGAAAGGAACTTTGATGGAAGAAGATATTGGGGCAAGACAGGGTGTCATCCTTGAATTTGCTTTTGCTTGGGAGAAAATAGTGGAAAAAGAACTGGACTGTAATGGGGAACTCTGGGTTCTATTACTAGGCAAGAGTTTCCAGGGATCTCAGTTTCCTTATGTGTAAAATGAAGAGGTTGGAGCCAATGTTGTCTAAGATGCCTTCTAGGGCTAAGTCCCATTTCCTTCTCCTTCCTTATACTATTGGCCAGATCCTCAGATTACTCCACAGTAGCTGAAAGGTTTTGGTTGAAGGTAGGTTGATAAGATGAAAACACATGCAAAAGAAAACTCTCACACAAAAACTTCACTACCCACCCACATCTTTTGGGAGGTTCAAGTCTTTAACCCATAAGGAAGATTAGAGCATGGGGCAGGCAGGAGACTGGAATGCAGTTTAAATGAAACCTTAAACTAGCTATTATGCACTGCAATTTATTATTGCAACTGCAACTTCCCCAGTGAACACCTTATAGGTCCCAGGCAAAGCCACATTAAGCTACTTCAACCGCCCCACCCCCCTCCACCCCTCATAACAAGGGCAGCACTCAAAGAGGTAGAAGTCACTGATTTTAAATCTTTCTCAATTCAGCTGATTAATCACCTTGGCCTCAACTTCTCTAGAGCTGTTTTTCCCCCTCCCCCAGACCAGGTCTGATAATGTGGCTGAATGAGGCTATCCTATAACTAAGAAGCATCAGAACAGGAGGCCTGTGACTGCCCCTGCCCATCCGCTGGCTCTGGCCCTCTGACTGACCCCTCTCCTTCCACAGGGGCTGGAAGGCAGGACTCTTAACTTCTATTCTTGGCTCCCTGTCCTTCCCAATTTGCTGTGACCTTGAGCAAAATGAACTGTCAGCTCCATGTTTTGGCTTCCTTCCCCATGGAGTGTGAGAATGACCTTTCAGTGGCACTTTAAGCATCTTGGAGGAAGTAAAGTGTCTTGTCCCACACCATAGCAGTAGTGACAGAGTTGGGATTCAAACTCTAGCCCTCAGATTCCAAATCAAAGTTCCCTTTTTGCTCTGGCATTCATTCCTCTTTTTGAAATTAATCCAGTTCTACTTCATAGTTTTCCTATTTACCCATCATATGAGTTATATTTGGAACAATCTGTACATACAATCCGTAGAGGTAACCTGGTATAGTGGGGGAACACCACTGCATAATATTGGACAACTCACAATCTTTCTGGACCTCAGTTACCTTACTGAAAGTGGAAAGATTAGAATAGCAGATCTCCAGCGGGAAAGTAGCCTTGAGTCTGTGACCAGTCTATGCATGAATTGCATCAATGTTTCAAAAGATCTGTGGTATGATATAAGCTCCTCCAAGGTAGGATCTATTTTGCTGTTTGTTGCCTTTTTATCACCAGCACTGAGAACTTGTCTGGCACATACATAGTGGATGCTTAATAAATGCTTATTGATTGATTTCATCATTGTGGGTTTTTTCTGGGCGATACAGCAATGGAGTTATACTTCAATGCCTCTCGGCATTGGTGAGTCTTCCTAATTATTGACTGCCACAGTTTCATGAGTTACTACTATTTAAAAAAAATTCAGCACCAGGTAGGCTGACTTTCAATGGACTACAGTCCACTGCTAGGCCTTACACTGAATGTCTTCCTAGTTTGCTTAAACTCGACTTCTGGATTGTCTATTATTTGGGATTATCCATGCTGTTGCTCCACTCAATTAGCAGGGAATAACTCAGAATATTAATAGCTAACATTTATATAACCCTTTAAGGTTTCCAAAACATGCTTCAACTCATTCGATCCTCATGACAACCTTGTGAAGCAAGGTATTACAGTTATTGCCATTTTACAGGTAGGAAAACTGAGGCTGAGAGAGGTTAAGTGATTTACCCATAGTAGCACAGCCAGTTAAGTGTCTGAGGCAGGATTAAAACTCAGGTCTTCCTGAAACCAAGTCCAACATCTCATGAAAAAGTTCTCCCAGCCAGTTTATTATCCCAGGGAATATCCAGGAATTAAAATAAAAATTATTAAAATCAGCAAAGTTTGTGATTTAACCATACATAAATTCTTACTAGTTTTGGGCAAGTAGGCAAGGGCTGAATTGCAAATCTAGCATGATCCCTCTTAACTCTGGCTGTCTTCTGCCTCTCCCTGCTAGGCTGGGATCGTCTTTAGGTATAATTTCCCCTGTTTGGAAGAATTGTTATTGTTCAGTCGTGTCCAACTCTTTATGATCCCATTTGGGTTTTCTTGGCAAACATACTGGAATGGTTTGCTAGCTCATTTTACAGATGAGGAAACTGAGGCAAACAGAATTAAGTGACTTGCCCAGAGTCACACAGCCAGCAAGTGTCTAAGGGCACATTTGAACTCAGGTCTTCCTGATTCCAGGCCAGGTGCTCTATCACTGCACCACCTTAGAAGTATTAGGTTAACCTTAAAAGCAATTCATATGGAATGCTCCTCCACAACCCCAAAGCCCTTAGCAGTTTATAAGGTCTCAAATGGAATGAGCCGAAGCTACTAATCCCAGGGGCCTCGAGGGAGTTATGTTAGTGAGTAAAGGGCACTCCTGCCCAGATATCTAACCTTGGGCAGTGTGGTCAGGGTTGGGCTTGTATTGGTGGGGAAGGGAGGAAGGGAGGGAAAAAGAAAGTAAACAATCCCTAACCACAGGCGTTAAGTCCTGTGAGGAGCACACAAGCATTTGGTCCAAGAAACCCCTACTTTTTTGTTTGTTATACTAACATTAATTGAAGAGGTGAGTCTATTCAAACTCTCCCAATGGGTTTCTCTGGGTAAATATTCAGGGAATCTAGAGGTTTAGACACAGAATGGAATGTATAGCCTGCCTTGGGCCTACATCTTGAACTATGCAGGGACTTTGAAGCAAAATTAGTGATAAGCCTCAAATTGGAAAAAAAAAACTACAATGATTTTTACAGGCCCCGAGTGAACAAAAGCAAAAATCTCCTTTCCCTCAAACCCACTCAGTTAATAAACCTAAACTCCAAAATGATATTAGATATTGTGAAACTCCTTACCAGGGGTGGGGAACCTGCTGCCTCAAGGCCATGTAGGTCCTCAAGTACAGCCCTTTGACTGAATCCCAACCTCCTAGAACAAATCCCCTTAATAAAAGGATTGGTTCTGTAGAGCTTGGACTCAGTCAAAAGGCTGTAACCAAAGACTTAGAAGGTCTTGTGGCCTCAAGGTGGCAGGTTCCCCACCCCTGCATCCACAGAGCAGAGTATTCTCCCTACTAAGCTTAAACCAAATTGCTGGCAGACTAGGTTCTAATCCCTGTAATAAATTCCTGCAGCACCCTTTATT